CAATGGAACAACAGAATAAATAAAATCAAATACCAGGAGATCAGCTTGGGTTATGCCAGGGCCACCCTTCCGAGGGATCTTATCACCACCAGATACATCTATTATATGGATAATATACTCAGCTAGTTCTCTGCTGAAGTTGGCAGCTAAATTATCTGCATCCATAGAAGTTCGCATAACTAAATCAGTAAGTTATTTTTCATTTTCCAATTAGCACAAAAACACCTTGTTCGGTACTTTCAAAATGTGGTACGTCCTCAAAGTTTTCATGCCAAATCACTTTAATAGAAAAATTGTACCTACCTCCTCCGGATTCACAAAGAAGTAAATCTGTTCTGTACAAGTTAGAAAGCTCCTCAAGAGGACCGAGATTGATGCTGATGTCTTCACGGATAGCAGCATGCGGCAACATCCTGTTTCTACAGCGTGTATTCTTTCCTCGGAAGTGCCCCGTGTTTCACCAAGAACTTGCCGTCCTCTTTTGTGAATGTCATTAGTCACCTGAAGTTTACAAGATTCTTCTCAATGCATCGATTCAAGTTTGGGTTAGCTGCTCAAATCATAACTTGTTTAAAGACTGACCACTAAGACACAATTGAATCAATTATGCTCACAGTTTAGATAACATTAAGAAAACTTTTACCTTCCGTAGCAGATAAATAGATATCAAAGAGCCAAGAAAGAGTCTAATTTAACATAAGGTGAACACTTATCATCAAACGGTAGACTGGAAGCTCAAAGTACAAGATGCACAATACTTACAGCAGCAAGACTGTACTTGTCTCGCAAGAATGTGCACAATGTCAGCATTAAAGCCGTTTTCCTGCATGGAACATTAAAATATTTCATCAGATTCCAATTCTTAGGATGTTTTAGGATATCACCAAGAGTTGTATAATAGTCATACAAATAAACTAGAGGAAAAACAACGGATAGACCATGACTAGGAAAAGAACAAAAGAGAGCTTGGACACAAACAAAGATATTTCAGGGGCTCAAAAAACTAGCTTCATAAAACAAAGACCAAAAAACCTTTTAAAGGAAGGGAAAAATCAGCTGATGTAAGATTTTATTAAAAATAAATCCGCGGTAAACAATGATGAGGAGAGGTCCATATTACAACACCATAGAAAATGGAATACAACAATGAGAACAGAGTAAAAAACAAAACAACTTTGGCTAAGGCATTCAGTTTACCACAACCCAAACTTCGGTAAAGGCATCTGCCAAACTGTTGGGTTAGCTGAACATATTTAGAAAGGAAACCTCGCCTATTTTAGAGAGTAAACTACTATTACTATACATATGTGTTATTTGGTCAGTGGATTCTACAGTCTTAACCAGCAAATACTAAGTCTAAGTCTCCACTGCTAATTCAGGTACAATAAAGCATAATCTTTGTTGAAAATTCTTATATAGCAGCTTAATCTTTATAGCCAAAGAAATAATAGATAGTATTATACAAAATAAAGAACAAGTGAACCCAAGTAGAAGATGCCACTGATTGGGGTACTCTAAAGCATCATGTTTGTTGAAAATTCTAATAAATATCAGATGGAATTATAAAAAATGCAGAATAATCAAGGTGAAAATAGGAAATACCCAGTACCAACAGGGCCGCCAATACCAACAGTGAAAGCTCTCTCATTGAAATCCCTGTTGACAAGCGACGGAGCTCTTCTGGTGAAGTATCCAGGCGAGTAAATTTGTTCATGTGAGTGCGGCGCCAGTCCATCATGGCTATGGTAAACCTTCCCATCAGCTCCCACCCATGATGTTGTCGATTTGCTGTTGCACAACCAAACATATATATATATAACCTGATAACCAAAACCCAGACGGTCAAAAGAGTTAAAACTCCATTAAAACAACTGCCAAAACTTGTATGGGAATATAGATTTACTTACTCATCATGGTCATGCTCATGCTCATGATATCGCTGGAAGCCATGTTGACTACTGTCTGAAAACGTGGTTGTTTTCAGAGTGAGGAAATTGAGAAGTAATCTCAGTTGTCTTGTTTTAGTCTTTTAGATAGATGAGATTATGATGCCAACAATGCCCTCGTGTCTCGAACCGCGAGTAACTCTAACCCCTGACACTTGTCACGTCTGATTTGGAGCATCTTTTGGATTTATAAAATTTGACTCTAATTAAGTTTAATTGAATTAAGGGTAAATTACACCATTACTTATTGAATTATACATTCTCTCTTATTTTACTCATCGTAAATATAATTTGTTTAATTTACCTACTGAATTTTCAAAATTATTCTTATTTTGATTACTCCAAATTATTTATTATTATTTTGGTATGACATGAAATTTATAGTATTATTTAATATAAAATTATTTAAAATATAAAGTAAAAAACAAAAGGTAGCTGGACGTCATCGTAACATCGACCGTCATAGATGATGGCTGCCGTTTGGTCCCAAATTTCATGTGTTACTTTGTCTCGACCCCCTGAGTTCGAATCTGTTGGTTGTTGCACTGAAAAATGTCCAAAAACCTGTGAATCTTGATTAAAACGTTTCGGCCTCCTTACTTTCAATCTTCAATTCGTGGAATTCAGAGCAATTTACGACATAATGGAGGTCAAATTTGGACTCACAATGTCAAGGTGAAGCAACCCATAAAATTTGGGGCGAACGACCACCACCTACGGCGGTCGTCTACGACCTAAGGTGGTGTTCGACCACCTTCTATTTTTATTTTATATTTTAAATTATTTTAATTAAATAAGAATAAAAAAACTATGTCATATGAAAATAATAATAAAATAATTTGAAGTGATCAAAAATAATTTAGTGAGCAAATTAGAAAAACTGAAAGTAGGGTGAGTAAATTAGGAGAGAGAATATAGTTGAATAGTACGCCTCTAGTCGGTAGTATTTCGGAATTCGGATAGAATTGGGTGGGGCCCTGATCGAAAGCGTACGTTTTCAGTTTCAAGCGCGTATAAGATTAAAAAACCTGGTACTCCTGAAGTTGGGGTATCTCCATGGGAGGTGCTGAGGAAGTTTAGAGGCCTACCTCGAACAAGGATGCTGCTTTAGACGATCTGTAAAGTCGCCTTCTTTCCACATGGAGTGTGTGCGCCGTCACCTTTCGGATGATCCAAGCTGTGCGATTTGAGGCTCGGTTGTGGAAAGAGTGTCCCATGCGTCCTATTGCGAAAGCAGCATGGAAGGAAGTTGTGAAGCCACAACGTTTAGAGGAGTTCATTTCAAGCAATGTGACAGATTGGATTGTAATAAACTTGCAGCGTCCTGATTACTTCCCGAAAATCAGTGAAGATTGGGATCTTTTATTTGGATCCCTGGTATGGTGTCTTTGGACCCGTCGTAATAGGTTAATTTTCGATGCAGAGTTTAAGGAGAGCGAGAGTATCCTGCAAAGGAGTATCCGTTTGCAGCAGGAGGTCCGAACGACGTTGTATTCCAGGCAAAGTCTGCAGATTGTTCAGCTGCAAAAGGCTAATCGTGAGGAAAAATGGAGGACTCCTCCGATTGGCTGGATGAAGTTGAACACTGATGGATCACGAAATTCAGACACGTGGTTTGCGTTGTGCGGAGGTATTGTGCGCAACCAAGATGGTGAGTGGGTGATTGGCTTTTCCAAATGCATTGGTGTATGTTCGGTTTTAGATGCTGAACTATGGGGAGTTTATATGGGTTTGAAGGTTGCATGGGAAAGAAATTTTCGGCGCTTAATTGTTGAGGTGGATCATATGGAAGTGGTTGGTGTTCTTCAAGGAAATAAGGAATTCGGGAGTATTTCCACCTTGGCGCCGCATGTTCAAGACTTTCTTAACCGTGATTGGCAGCTGCGTTTTCGTTTCATGCCACGGGAGTGTAACAAAATGGTGGATGGAGTTACCAGGCTAGCTTGGACAAGCTTTGATGATTCCACGTTGTACTGCTCTATGCCTATGGAGGTCTCCAATTTTATTTCTGATGAAATAGGGGTGCACGTTAGAGAGTAATGGCGTGTGTGGCCATCTTTTTTATTCAAAAAAATAATTAAATATATTTTTATAATGTTATGATGGAGGTTGATTTCATTTTAATAATCTTTCTTTAATTATTTATGGAATACATATACATTTTTATATTATTTTTCACTTCTTTAACTAATGATTAATAATGTTATTTAATAAACATCATTTAAAATTATATAACATTATTTTTTAATGATAAAATGTTTCTGAGAGTATAAATGAATTAATGAATTGATGGAAAGAAATAATACGTAAAATAGTAATTGTTGAATGATCAATTAGAACAAAACATAAAACTAAATGACTAAATTCAAAAGAAGAGAAAAATTAGAATTACACATTTATTCTATTGTAGTTGTATAACATACGATTTAAATTTAATCTAAAATAAATTTTAAATTAAAAATAAATAATAATAATAATAATAATGATCAAATTATACAATAGTTAAATTATTTATCTAAAAAATATATATATATTTAAAGTTTAATTTAACTTAGATAACTTAAATTTAAAAAAATAAGTACTTTTTTCAAACTAAATCACCTGCTTAGCCCAAAACTTTGACCACGGCTGACTGACTCAAGCGAATATGCCTGGGCATTACTATTGGGCTTTGTTAACCCAAAGTTTTCTTCATAAATTAATTCAAAAGCCATAATTTATAGTATTTTGTATAGCTGATATTATAAATAATTATAATTAAATTTGAATATAAATTTATAAAAAAATATTCAAATTGACTCCACTGAAATTTCATAAATTCAACTTAAAAATGTTCAAATAAAGTTTAAATGATAAATAACATTGAACATCTCAGCTATCTCAATTTTTTATTGAATTCGGTTGGACTCGATTGAATATTCATACCTACTTCAAACAACAAATCTATATATGAAAAGTTTGTTTTACAATTCTTATATTTCTCAAACATAATCACACACTTTAAATGTCACTATCTCAAATTGTTTCTCACAATATCCTTCAAATCAATTACCCAAAAATCCAAATTTTCATCCAACAAAAAGAAACGAAAAGAAAGAGGACAAGTTATGAATAGATCATACCCCACTTTTTGATACATGACAGATACTCCATCAATAGTATAATTCAAGGAGCTGTGCTCTTTCTATAAGCATTGAAAGGCATCAAAAAGTAGAGTATGAATCTTTTTCATTACTCAATCAATATATAAATATAAACTAAAAATAACAATAAAAATAAAATAAAAGAATCCCAAGCTGTTAGTCAAACAAATTCCCAAGAGCATTACGCTTGGCACATGGTTGAGGCAACACCACCTTTGGGATATCCCTTTGAGAGACTGCATTCTCTTGGTCTCGATTTGAAGGTGGAGTAGGATTCTGGGGACTACAATTGCTATTATTGCCAAGTACCAGCCCTTGCTTCTGTATATATTCCCATTTGTCTTGGAAGAGATAAAAGCTGGCAATGAAAGAGATTTCGAGAGTGAAAAGTATGGTCCATATAGCAGTGCTTTTTGATGTTTTCTTATGGTATGCTTTTAAGCCAGTGTAGATGTTAATAATCCCCATCACTGATATTATTGTTCCAACAATCCAATGTGTTAAATACCATGCAGTTCTTCTACTTCCTCTGAAAAAATAAGAAAAAAATCAATGGTAAAGAGGCAGCACCAAGGAAGCATGAAATAGGGTTGTTCGTAAAAACTCGAACCGCACTCACATCAATTTTCATAAAGGGATGAAATTCAGAATTAGACCATTAAGTAAGTTTTACGTACCTACGAGGCCTGAAGAAGCCAATGATGGCTTGCATCGAAATGGCAACATAAAGGGCTAACCCTAATCGTTGGTGATGGTTATTGAATGAATTCTCAAAGTTCCTGATGGACATGACGGCTCCCACTGTTGCAAGAAGGACCGCAAGTATCTGCAGAACATGGTGATAATGATTATGTGGAGAAATAGAGTGCGTCATCTCATCTCTCTTTTCTTCATATTTAAGTCTTCATGATTAAGTTGGTTTAGATCAGTTAATTAATGGGATGTTTGAAGAAAAATTCAAGGCTGTGGACATCATCATTAAAGTGAAAGTTGATTTATAATATCCTATGAAAAACGGAGTTGCTTGACGCGTGTACTAAACATTATCTGGATATTTTGTAGTGAAGTTTATCTTCTAAGATTTAATAAACACTCCTATAATGCAGAATTGTTGGTGTGAAAATTAAGGTTGTGAATTGTGATGGAGGTTAGTCGATCAATTAAGGAGGAGAGAGTTTGAAGAAAAACCTTTAGTAGTGCTCGCTGGTTTATTAATGAATGGATTCGAGTCCGACCATCGTATAAGAAACTTGTAATGAAATTAACAACAATCAGATTAAGAGATTATAATTACCCGGAGAATATGAGAGTTCTAGTAGCTTGGAAATACTTCGAAAAATATAAAATTCCAAAGGATTTGAAAATTTTTATCAACATGGACAATTGTTCTTTAATAAAAGATATTTCAACGCTATATCATCACGAAATGCTCGAACAAAAGGAAAGAAGAAGATGATACCTGGAATATAGCATGGAGATATAATAAAAATTTAAGCCTTCTCCCAGCTTCCTCTTTATCAGCCATTCTAATAGTAAGTATCCCAACAGGAATCAAGAATCCCATGGAAGCCCAAAGCAGAAGTCCATGAACAGAAAAATAAGATATCATTTGGGAACTAAGCTGCAAATATCAATGTTAATCAAAGAAAAACATGGTTAAAAATACTCAAATCATATATATATATAGGCATATAGCTATACATGATGCATAGGAATTTGGCATAAACCTTATTTGCATTTTGTTTAATGTTATTGTGAGTTCTGGAAGCAGTGATTCCTCCATGAGATAAACAAGAAACAAGTGGTGAAAGAAGAACAAAGAATAACACAAGAATGGTGATGAATGGCCTTAGAGAATGAGAAACTTGCTGCATCTTTATCAGTAATATCAAAGCTTGCAGTTGCAAAAGATCTGATTAAAAGACAACCCTCTTTTTCTTTTTGGACTCTCGAAAGGTTTGCATTTGAGTGGACATTAGAGAATTAGAGAGAGGAAGTGAAAGAGAAAATAGAGTATGTGAATGTGTCGGCTCTTCAAAGAAACTACAACTTTAAAATCTTTTTGTGTAAAGAAGCTATTGTGATATGATTACAATAGATGAAATACAAAACAAAAAAGGTGGTGCCACGTACCATTCATTCAGTATGGGCTCAAGGATGTATAGAAAACATGGGACAATATTCATGGTGGTTGTAAGAACAAGGTTATTTTATACATTAAAGGATTGGATATACCACTTAATTAGTATCGGTCGTCATTAACGGATCTATAAATTTTTCTCTTAGACACATATATGTTAATAACATAAAATTTTGAATACGGGTGTGTAACATCTCAAATTTCAGATTTACCTGAGAGACAAGTAGATCCCGCAGAATTTAAAAATTCAAGTCGTTGGGCTTAATTAGGTTGATCTTGAGCCTAATAAGAAATAAAGAGTGGATTTTGCATAGTAGGAAGATGAGAAGAGACCAACAGTGTAATTACCCTATTTTTTAAGATGAGAGCTTTTATATTCTCTCATTTCATTTTCTTCCTCCTCAAGCTTTTTAAGCCAAGGTGAGTCCATTGAACCATTTCTTACCTCTTTCAAGTTTAATTTTCGTTCTTAATCCCTCAAGCAACATGGATTTAATAATTCAAGCCATGAATTCTTTGTTTGCAAGAGAAAATTGGGGGTTTTATCATCCAAGTCATGGTGGGGGATGATTTCTAGTTAAAAAAGTTCATTTTCATGATTCAATCAGCAAGGTAGTGTATTTTTAATCCTTTAGATTATTAAGTTTCCATGAATTTCAAGAATTTGCTAAGATTTGTATAGTTGAGCATATTAAGGATGTTTAAACATGATTTCAAGATTAAATCACATTTTAGGTGTTAAGGAAGTTCTTTTATGACACCTACGGACCCAAAATAACTTACTAGAACTTCATAATCAGTTTAGGAACCAACCCAAGTCATTTAGGATGATTTTGGGTGTTTTCTTGAGCCTAAAAAATAATTTCAGGGTTCGAGTATCGATATTGGGATGAACAATATTGATACTGGTTAAATTGGGGCTAAAATTAGGGTTTTAAGAGGAGAGTATCGATATTGTCCCTGTAATATCGATACTCAGGATAGCATTATCGATACTGAGGCCCCAATTCTGTAGCAGAATACATTTTTTGTACCGATGCCCATGGGGTATCGATACTTGACCCTAGGGTATCGATACTACAACTAGAGTATTAATACTACCCACCTAAGATGATCAAATTTGACCCAATTAAGGTCCGTAAAAGCTTGGGATGTTCCGTAATGATAAATCTTAGTCCTTGAGGAATAAAAATGGCCAAAGGGGCCCAGAGACACTCATAGGAGTGGATTACAACCAGTGTAACCAAAAGCAGGCATAATGCGTCCAAGTATCTTCAGTATGCATGTATAAGATATTTATGGATGAAAGATCAGTGGACAGGGTGTACCGTTGAGAGCTAAGAATAAGAAATCAGTTTATGAAACAACAGTGTCGTATACCACAAGAACGACTGAGAGTGTTGGACGCATAATATTAGTGAATAGAGTATCGCTACCCAAAAATAAACCTGAGTTAGCTATCGGGCCAACTAGAACCAAAACCAATAAACAATAACCTCAGTAATCATCGTGAAGTCTCGAACGCGTAGAGATTTCCCCAGAGTCAAAGAATGACTGAAATACCCTTAAGTAGCGAGCAACTAGACCTGTACAAATTATCAATAATAACTCAGAACAACTAGGAAAAAGAAACAACAACAACTAGGATGTCATAAAACTAACCTTTATGTGACACTCGAGAAACAGACAGGACACCCGAGTTACTTTAGCAATAAGGCGATTGTCTTGTTGTTAATATGTACAGTTTTCATTCAGTGCCAAAGCACTTCTTTTGCTAGCTGGGCGCAGATGCCCCGAGACTTGATGGGGTGTACATTTCTGATACAGCTCCGAATTTCACCCCATATATTCGAGGGGACGGGTATACATTTCTGATAGAGTTCCAAATCTTACCTCAAGTACCCGAGGATATTCCGGCATAATATAGGGGTGCGTGAGCTCCAAGATGCAGCCTCTAAGCCACACCATGATGTCTGCCACAACTTTATGCTTTTTTTGTTGTGTATCATATATTAGTATCTGGTAGGTTAGAGGGGTGTGTGAGCATGAGATGTAGCCCTTCAGTAGCACCATGATGACTACCTTAGCTAATGTATAAGTCGCAACAGAGTTAGGATTACATTCAGATAATGCACAACACAGTTAGTATACATTCAGATAATGCACAATAGAGCCAATATCGTATTTAGATAATGCGTAGGGGGATTCAGACATTAGGGTTAGAGACCCCTACTTCAGAGACAGAACAACTCCACCTTAAGTAGGTAGCACTTGATCTAGATCATGCTTGAACCTACTGCTTAGAGTCACGTCTTCATCATGCTTGTGTTTATCAAATTCTTATGATGCTCTAGATTAATGACTATACTGCTGGGCTTTGTAAGCTCAGCCTTCGGATGTTTTTCCGTTGGCAGGTTAGTAGCATGAGCAGTTCGTGGAGCAGCGTCGCTGCAGGACTTCCAGCATCTCCTTCAGAGTATTGTATCGTAGTTTAGTGGGCATATGTATTCATATTACCTTACTTATGTATTTAGTTTATTAAACTCAGAGTTGTATTATTTTGATTTTAAATTATGTATCAAGGAGATCTGGTTTTGTAAATTGATTTTCATAACAATATGTATGTTTTATTTATGATACCATTCACTATGTTTGAAAATCGATCCAACAACGTAACTTATATTATCAAAGCTTCAATGGAAAATAGAGAAGCCGAGACTAGCATGAAGAACATCCATTGAATTATAGAGTTTTTTAATAAAAAGAAGATGAGTGGGAAAACAGGTGGGCTTTACAATTTACATACATGCATGTGCTAGTATTCGCTAAAATCAAAGTTAGTGATTGAATAATGTGGACACATATTTTCGTCCATGTGGCGATTACATTTATATTTATGTGTTATTATTTATAATATATATGTGTATACATATCATATGATTTATTATAAATTATATAACACATTTCTTCATTTGGGTTTTATTACACTTTGTATAGGCCCAACAAAACAACCCTCTTCACTCCTTGATCCAACAGTGGCCCAATATAATAGCCCAGGTAGAGGATTAGGGTTTCTAGAAACCCTGGCTCTCCTCATCTTATGCTTCCAGCAGCCATCAACAATGACTGTTGGATCTAGGTGAGATCCAACGGTCCACAGCAAAGGTATCAAGGGTTGTCTCCAAACCCTAGTTCCAAGCTCTATCATCACTGCATTCCACCCACCGTGGACTCCTCGCCACCCACGCATCTCACTCCGAACATTTCGCGCAACACAGCAACGACGTGGGTACCCAGGACTCATCCACAACCACGCAACAACCCCATCATTCTTGGCCTCCAACCGACGTGAGCATTTGGAACTCCAACAACCGGAGTTCTCTGGCGCACGCATCACCAACGAGCACAACAACTAATATTAGTATTTTAATCGAAATAAAACTCCCAAAAATAGGAGCTATGCCTACTATAAATGCATGTAATCAACCCCATTTGTAAACACGGATTTTCATACGGGAAAAATACACAAATATTACGAGCAAAATCGAAAAGCAAGCCTTGTAATTTTTTCGAAGCTAAATAAAGAGAAAAGGTATAATTTTTACCTATTTGTCGTTCGGTTGCTTGCATGTAGTCTTCTTTGCCCTCTGATTCGAAAAGAAACCGAACAAAAAACGTTTTGAGCCAATGATCAAAAGGGAGTTTTCGAAATTTTAATTTCAGATCTACGCTCCCCAGAGGCTTTTTTGCAAAAACAAAACACGTATTTAAACCGAGAGAACGAAGAGCTTTTAAAAAATCAAACTTTTTCCGAGTTTCGTCGCCGATGAACAGCGGCGGGATCGCCATAATCTGGGTTGCGCGGCGGTTGTTCATCGTGCATGAAGAACACGATGAACATGGGCAGAGGATTTGGTTTTTTTTATGTTTGATCTGGTTTGGGGGGATGAAAATGAATTATGTTTATGGTTATTGGTATTTATAGTACCCATCCAGCCGACCCATGACCTGACCCAATACTATATGACCCGCGTGTTTCCAAAATAAATAGGGTGAACTCCGCTTTTGGACCTCGTGCTTTTGAAAAAGCTTATCTGGACCCCGAATTCGATCCTAAGCCCGAATTTCTCTTTAAATTGACCCTAGAATTTGACTTTTTATTTAATTTAGTACCTTTGTTATTATTATATATATTATCTATTTATTTTTTTTATATTTGTATATATTATTTTCATTATTAGTATTTCTATTACTATTTCTATTTTTAACGTTATTTGTATTATTTATATCTTTTATTTTTTCCTTATATATTTTACTATTTTTTTATATTTTTTCTTTTCTTTATTTTTATCCTTTTTATCATTTTTATCCTTTTACATTTATTTTATTACTTTATTTATTCTTATTTTATCCTTTTTTACGTGCATTGCTATTTTTCTTTATATTATTTATTTAATTTTGTATTTTTATTTTTTTATTACTTTTACTTTTTTTATCGCTCGTTTTTGTGTTTTATTTTTTTTATCTTCACTTCATTTTTTATATCCTTTTATTTATTTATTATTTTATTTTCTTCATTTTATTTTATTACTTTTTTATCTAACTCTTTTCTTGAGTTTTTAAGGGTGCATTTTTAATCAATCAAGGGTAAGTTTTGAATCGTTATTTTACCTTTTAAATTAAACTTTTAACTTTTTTAAGTAAAGACAACTGAAAATTACACAGTACCGAAAG